ACGTTCGTCTACTTGTTTATGCCTTTGATTTCGGTTTTTTCGACTCTCGAGTACAGAATACATTTCGTTTATGATAATGAAGTCTTTTAATGAACGATATATCGTTTTTGGTTTGTGTAACTTACCCCTGGCTTGCTAGTTGACAGCGGTCATTTTGGAAGGGAATTTCGGCGTGATAGCAGTTTCTGGTGCACTTTTAACAGTGCCATTGAATATAAATGGTGTTTCAAATAGTTTGTCTCTAATAAGGAATGTAATCCAGCCTGAAATTGGACATTGTTCCAATCATTGTGTTTATTATTTCTGTACTGAAAAGTAGTTATTGATTAGGACTTAATGCATTTTGCAAGAAACGTTGGGTGCAGGGGAATATTTTATGATCGCAATTGTCGACCGTTTCGCCGACCACTACAGATGTTGGTGTGACACTGTGACAAAATGTCAAGTCGATAATATTGTGGCTTCTTTTAGGTTGGCACGTTCGTTGCTGTTAACCATGGATATCTAAAGAACTTAAGTATGTTTTTAAAGCGCAATGAATCGAAGTGTGTTTGCTAGTTTATTTATTCTAGTTCGAGGTCACTACTAATAATTTTGTAGTCGAAATTGAGAGAGACGGGCCTTTTAAATGAGTCACTAATGGTAGTACCAACCGATAGATGAGTTTTGAAGTTCGATATATCTATCGAGTTAGTTATCGATATTCATGAACGTGTAAAGTTGCAACTAACGAAGACAAAAGACCAAATGTGATGAGTAAATTATCTAAGATACAAAATGTGTACACTGTTGTCATAAAACATCCATTTGAACGAACAGCGAATTTTTGGCTGTCTTCTTCCGTATGTCTTCAACCCTTCAAAGCATTCTGATCACGCCATACATCCGGATACAAAAATCTTAGCTCCGTCGGTGACTTAAGGGTGACACTCTGCTGCATAGAACTTATAAGCTTTGTTGCAAGTAGTACAAAGTACAGAAGGATCTAATTATATACTCACAAATGCGTCCAGCTACTTTAATCATAGTGAGATCCTTTGACCTACATTATGACACTTATAAATTCTTAGCGTGTTTTAATAAGTTTAACATCTCGTGAGGGCTTCCTAATTTAAAAAATATTTTAAATACATTCATTATTAAATACAAAAGGCACTTATTACCCGAATCAGACCAATAGGGAGAATTATTTGGAAAAAATATTCTAAACCATTTGCGGAGTGAATTTCCCTAATACACTATTCTTGGCCTTCCTCCTATATATTTAAATGAAGTAATTTACCAACTGTAGCAAGGTAATCTGTTCTACAGTTCTTGATTGCATTTAAATTCCGAAACCTATACTCTGAATTTCAGATAGGATTATATTAGAGGGTAACGAACGTTGACTGCCTGGACGGAGCTATGAACGGTCATAGGAAGTTAATCCTAGCAACATTGTAGCAATGGAAATAAATAACTGGCACACGGTAGGTGACATAGTGCTATCTATAGTAACAAATCTTGACGATCTACGAATCATAACAAGCAGCGATAGTAGAACCACAAGTAACTGAAGAGTTGTCGCGACAAAACGCTTCAAAGTGTAATGGACTGTTCGTACTCGGGTTCATCTATTGGATGAAGGATGGATTGAGATATTATAGCCAACGCTTTTCCTGCCACACTTGCAAAATTGTTTTCAAGCAGAAAGTCTTCGATTCAAGCCTGAAGTGCATGTGCAAGAACTACTACGACTGTGGAAGGACAAAATAGTGAAACGACTTACTGACTTTGTTGTGAAAATCAACCACGATGCTTCAACCTATTTTCCTTATCCTAACGCGTGTTGCCAGATTATTTAATACTGGTTTAACGTGTGCTGGACGATGATTTCAAAAGTACTTTGTCCCTTCCATCTGTAGGCGGTCATCCAAGAGGAATTTCCGACAAAGTTTAAGGACCGATATCAAGACGTTTATGTCAGCAGTTCCCGTTCTCACATCGAGTAGTGAATTATCAGGTACAGTTGACTAAACGTATAATGTCAACTCCTGTCGATGCATTTGTAGTAGTAAATAAATTCCTAGAATAAATAGTTCTGCAACACTTCGTGATCGATGCTGACCTCATTAGTTTTTATTGAACACACTCTAGCTGTAGGCGCTAGGTCACGCATCCGCACCAGATGACTGTAGGGTGGGCCGAGGAGCGTATCTCCTTGCATCATCAGTTAGTAAGCTTAGTTCACTGCCTCCTCGACCTCCTAACCGTCAAATTTACCTTCGATCTTCCTCATTCCTTACTTCCGGTTTGACTTGGCTTATAGTGGTCTCATTCTGTAAGGTGTTACAGATGAAAACGTTGTTCAACTGTGAATATCTGTGATGTGATCGCATTTGAAGAGAAATTGGGTCTTCATTGTGCCACAAGTCAGATGGATTATTGTAGATTAGTTTGCATCCTGTGTCTACCAATGAAGACTGAGTTTGAGTACTTGCTATCGGTTTTTTATGACAAACTAAGTTGAGATTTCTTCACCTGTCCTGGAAATGGATCAAATCCGTGCTTTAATCGCGAGGCGTTCGTCTTTTCTGTTTTTTCTCTAGGCTGTTACGAATGCCATATTCGCCTTCGCGTTTCGCTTCCTTAAATTTACAGTTCTGTTGATGTTTATCGGAATAACCTGAAACTAATTCCTCTTTACAACATTTGTATCATTCGCGTTAGGTAGTGTAAGGTTGATTTGATTCTTTATCAATTTTTACATTTGAGATATGTGGTGAGTTGGTAGTATTGCAGGTTTCCATATTTGTAATGTCAATGCATTTCCTTGATGTCGTATTTTGTCAGTTTTGAGGTTATTTATGGTTCTAGCACTAAGCATCGCAGCTAGAGTTTGGGATTTTTCAACCTTACCACTTTTGTTCGTGCTCGTTCCAGTTCCACAGGGCTATCACTTATTTCGAAGAGCCTTTTAAGAGCCACTAATTTGCGTGCTAATTGGTCCACTATAATATTCTACCTAGGTGCAGGTTAGATCAATCAAATTTGTTCATTTTACACATATACTGCTGGAGTTTATAATGGTGACAATATAAAGATTTTTAATTTGGTGAACTTTTAGGAATCTTTGATTTGAAGACATTAAGTTCAGAAGTATTTACGCCCGTTGCCTATAACAGAACTACTATCGAAACCTCAATCACTAAATGTATGACAAGTGTCCCACTAGGCTTGGTAGATAATAGATTGTGGCCCTAAATTGTGGGATGTATAAGACGTAAGAATTATGTACATGATTTTTATTTTTTTGATATTAACTGGTTGAGTGTAAGTGCCTTTTAAGTAAGGGACAATAAGTTTACTCACTCATTCCCCCATAAATCTTAAAAATGTAAAAAGCTCTTATATAAACTGCTATTTCAACGAAGTTTGGTTCTCAGTCAGCAATGTTTGAGCTGACTGCCGTTAGAACAGCATTTTTATCAATGACTAAAGCGGTTAAACGTTACATGATGTCTCTTGTAGTGGATCCATACACCATTTCGTGTACCTAGAGGACCGGAATGAGGAAGTTATCTGTTGTTACTATGGATAAATTGGTTACAGGCGTATTAAAGTACAAATTTATTGAATATTATTCCTTTCTAAATGCTTTTCAGTTCATAAGCTTGTAATCCTGTAAATAACAACATTTTAGCTCTCAGATTTCGTGCAAAACATGTTGACGAACCTTAAAGGAGATAAAAACATATGAGATACTGAAAGATAAGGTATCTGTAACCGATCAAAAATATTTCTTCTGCATTTCAGCTTTAATATATAGTATGCTATCATTATTTAAATACACAGATGTACAAGTAGCTAATATGTCTATACTTTAGACTTATATCAGTATCAAATGATTACACAGACTATGAAGTAATTTGGGATGCGTTGCTTCATTAGGACTAACAAATCTAATAACTCAGCAACTTTATATCCTTAATACTAAATGTTTAGTTTCACCACTCAGTAATAATTCTAGACTAGCGATAGCTACGTGTGAAAGTAGTAGAGCTGACTATAGGTTGCTTATATTGAGAGATAACTCGGTTTATTACACCAGTACCATAGAAATAACTGAACAACACATCTTTTTAACTTCTTAAATAGCTTAATAAACATGAAACTTACAAATCACCACAGCGAATTTCATCAGTTTACCACTAACTGATGTACTGTGATGCATCACGTTTACTGGACATGTGATATGTTACCTCTAGATCACCATGCGGACACGAAGCAGTATCTGTAACCGTGTTAAAAGAAAAGAAGTTGAGAGCAAAGAAATCAGTCCGTTTATTCTAGCACGAGTAAAAGATACTGGGTATTGGACAAATTGCACATCGAAGAGCGAATACTCAGGTTCGTACACACTTTTTCTCATTGAAAATCACTGAAACTTGTACTGCTATCCCAGCCGAGGTGACCACAGCCCTCTCAGTAGATAGCTTTAAGAAGAGACTTGATAATCACGTACTCACATACAGATTATCATCTCCCTCTTGGACAAGCTTTGTCTGATGCATATCTTGAGACCAGCTATTATTTATTATTGCCATCTTCTGAGATCACTCAATTATCCTATCTCGCCTATTATCTCTGTTTCCTCTCCCTTGTTTACACTTCGGTCCTCTCTCACAATCTTTACTACTAATCAACAAAATAAATTATCCATTATTTACTTAGTCCTGAAATCTTACTCATATTAGCATTAGAATTTTATCCTTATTATTCTCCACAATGGAACCAACTGATCTCCGGTATGGTAATGTGATAGTTGCTGGTATCCAGAAACCCTACTGCCCTGAAACAAACGTTTTCATCCAAATCTCCAGACATCCAAACTCACAACCAACTGTCAACTGACTAGAGTTAGACAGCTGAGTGGCTAGACCTCCATTCATTGGACGCTACCGAACACATTGAACTGTACCGAAGGAACAAGAATCGAGCGCAAAGAAATCAATTGGTGAAAAAATATTGGATATTGAATACGCGGGTCTTTCAGACTACTGACTGTAATAGTTTGCAATGTCGTTCGTCCCCAACTTCCCACCTTCCCTCCTGCAACGCATCAAAAGCGATGACACCGGGGACGAAAAGAAAAGAAGCAAGGATGATTATAGGAAGATGAAAGAACTCGAAGAGGCCCGGAAGTTAGCTGTGATGCCGGCAATGAAAGATGAAGAAGGTCGGGACATTAATCCTCATATTCCACAGTATATTATGCAAGCGCCGTGGTATTATGGTGCCTTACACCCAACTTTGCGGCACCAGCGGATACAAGATGAAAAGAAGCGTGAGGATACTTCTGGAAAAATGAAAGGCTCTAGCGCCCTTAATGTCTGGTACAAAAGAGGAATACCCCAAATCAAACAAAAGGTTACTTTCTACCGAGATGGAGCGTGTGAAAATTGTGGGTCTATGTCGCACAAACGTAAAGATTGTCTCGAGCGTCCTCGTAAAGTAAGTATCAGTCTCAGTTATTCGTTTATATTGTTTTTGTAACCAGTTTCCAACTTTTCCAACGAAGATCCTCACAAACTATTCAGTGAATGAAAGTTTCTGTGAAGCACTAAAGCAGTTTTTCCAAGCGACTTTGGCATTATTTGATATGTTAGGTTGTTAGTTTCTGTGACTTATAAAACTTTCGTTTCATAGTGAGGCTCATGTGTACCTTCATTACAAACCTATGATGACATTCCCTGATATCAGCCCTAACTCTTCTAACTAGCTTTTTTCCAACAATCCATAGCTCTGCATTCTATAAACACGTGTACATGAATACTTTAATTTCTTATTGTCCATTCAGCAGACTCCAGGTACATATTTGAAACCCCGACCGAAGCTGCTACCTTGACGTGGTGGTCGGGCTTGCCTATCGTGATGACCCGACCGAGCTATATTGGCTGGAACTTATGTTCCTGAAGGTTCTACCATACCAGGCAGGTAGATTGGAGGACGATGAGACTAAAAGCAGCTACCCAAGATCTGAGGGCGAAGTCGTACTGCTGACTGCAGAGAAGTGTGAGAGCAGTAGGGTGTTTCCCTCGGATAACCAGCATCCGCAGCGATGCTGCCTTCTCACAAAGAAGGAAGGGTTAAAAAGGTCGACCCTAAAAATGTCACACCTCACGGATTTCCTTCTCCGGCGGTAGGGGTGCCCACTAAGGGCTTTCAAGAGCGGAGCTAACACTCAAAAAACTTCTCATAAAAAGGTCGTGCGTGACCGGCCTCAAGCAGTTGTCCCTTGGGCTGTGCGATCACGCTCCCAGGTCTCCAAGACCAAAACTAATCTGTCTTCTTTTTCAGGTCCCTCAAGAAACAACCTTCCACGATGTGGGTAGCCGGGAAGTGATAACCGCCTTCATACCCGTAACAGCACACGAGACCAAATTGGTCAAAATCAAATCCTTCCTACACCCCCTAGTACCTCTCTTATCTCCACGACTAACTCTTCTCACATTCATTTATCACACTGCCCAGCTAATGCAAACGATGCGAGTTCACGAAACGTCGTTCCTGGTCTCCTTAAACCCCGTTCTAAACTACGTGTTGGAGCATTTAATGTACGGACATTGTGTCGAATAGGGCAACAGGCTTACTTAGCTAGGAATTTAGAATCTCGTTCCATCGATATGTGCTGCGTTTCGGAAACGCGCATACAGGATCCGAGTAGCATCATTTACTTGACCTCACCATGTCAAGATAAAGAAGCAGCTCGATTTATCCTTCGTGTATCCGGTAGCCCTGATGCTGCTTCCAGGGGTCTCGCTGGTGTAGGTATAGCATTGAATCGTAGGGCAGAACAATCTCTCCTTGACTGGATCCCTGTAGATAGTCGCTTGTGCGCTGTCCGACTAAACGGGACAGTAAGGACTCGGATGGATAGGCACACCCGTCGTTGCCTCTTCGTCGTATCTGCCTATGCCCCCACTGACTGCAGTTCAGACGATGTGAAAGATGAGTTTTATAGAAAACTTTCGGACCTCCTCCAAAAATTGGGCGCTCCGATGTAATAATAATGGCTGGTGACTTTAATGCTCAAGTAGGTAGACTAAGTGAAAATGAAAGACAGTTAGGTTGTTGTTATGGTATCGGGGCTCAGAGAACAGACAATGGCGACCGTCTGTTGCAAGCATGCTCAGATAATCGCCTATTTCTAGCAAACACTAATTTTAAACATAAGGAGGGGTTCGATAGAGGACTGTCACTCGTTCTGGGGCACTTGTTTAGATTCAGATCATGCTTTACTGCGAGCGCGTATTTGTTTGAAGCTTACTGGACGTAGGAAAGACACCATGAGGAAGCCTCTTAGGGCTTTACTTGATGATAATAAAGCTAAGAATATATTTCAGGAGGAACTAGAAAAACAGTTAGGCGGCCATGCAAGTGATTCCCATACGGAGGCAGGTCGGAATGATATGAAGAAGTTCTGTGGAAACATCAGTAATATCTGCTAGTAAGGTAAACCATAAGGCTAGGATGAAGCCGTGAGTTTCAGTCGCATCCACCGAACTGATGGATGCTCGAAAATGCATCCCACGTGGCTCGGAACTTGTTGAAGAGCGAAGTCAGCCTGGGCGCAGACTGATAGAAAGCTTACGTACGACCGCGAACATGGTGGTTGTCGAAAGCAAAAGCGATGAAAAAGGCAGCGGTGATAGACCACCTTAGACTACTTTTCCGCCTTATCAAGAAACCGGTATTAGCAACCCGAATGTTTAGTGACACTATGTCGGAAAAGGATGGTCTTATT